CGAGTGGGGACCCAGACTTCTGAGAAGGGGCCGTCGGCCGGCTAGTGCGGATTTATGGAGCGCACATACGAGGGGCCCCGAGGAGTCGGGACACAGATCTCTTGGCCGGGGTGCTGCTCGGCCAGGCAGGTATCTCATGCGGATGTGCAAAAGGGCTGGCTCTGGGAAAGTGGAAAACCTTGGGAACCAACTGCTACTGGAAACCAATGCTGCTGCCTGGGCCAAGGGCTGTTGCCGGGTAACTGGCAGGAACAGGAAGCAACCAGAAAGGGGCTGGCCCCTTCTTCCCCCCCCCTCACCACCACAAGACTCCTTCCAGCCTTCCAGGCTCCCTCTGATGGGCCCTGCTGGCAAAGAGGAAATGTTTGCAGAGCCCTTCACCCTCACAACACAAAGGCAGTGTGAGGGACCATGACAGTCATGGGCCCAAAGACATCAGGTGTCAATTACTCTCACGTTCTGAAATTTGCTAGAATAACCAACAGGCCTTCAGAAGAGCGTGAAATCGGTTGTTTTTAAAATTGTGCTAAAATATACAAAACATAAAATTTACCCCAAACTCAGCTCTTCAATCCAGTCTTGGTTTGTGACAATGCTTTCATCAATCTGTCGTGGAATGAGAAAATTAAAGAAGGTTTAGTCAGTTTTCCTAAAGCTAAATTTTACTCAATTTTAAAGGACTTCTTTAAAGTTTGAAATTATGGCCTCCGAACTTTTGTGTGGGTAAATTGTCCATTCATCTATGTTCTAATGGGGACAATAAATTATAGGTTTTAAGTGTGTGAGTGTGTGTGTGATGGTCTCTAGCCTTTGGGTAAAGACTCAGCTAGTCCCTCTGGTTCTCCAAATAGCCCTTTGAAAATGTGGGGGTCTGTGAAATCCACAAGAGTGAGAAATCCTGGACTACTGGGTTAGGGCCTAAAGTCGGGGTGAGGCAATGGGGGAAATGATGGGAGACACATAAGAGGAGTGAGATACAGGCGGAATCTGTAGGACAAGATACCTTGCCCTAACTGGTTTGGCTCAGTGGATAGAGCGTCAGCCTGCAGACTGAAAGGTCCCAGGTTCGATTCCAGTCAAGGGCATGTACCTTGGTTGTGGGCACATCCCCAGTAGGGGGTGGGCAGGAGGCAGCTGATCGATGTTCCTTTCTCATATATGTTTCTAACTCTCTATCCCTCTCCCTTCCTCTCTATAAAAAAATCAATAAAACATTTTTTAAAAAAAAGATACCTGACAGTCCCGAATTTACTGCACTTTGTATGCACATGACTCTCTTTCCGACCCTCAAATGTACAATCAGATGTTTTTATCAATAATCCCATGAGCAGCTCTTTGGGGTCAATTGTATTAGAAACACTTAATGAAATACACCAATACATAATTTGTCCTCACATTTCTCCCTTAATTCCATTCTTGGAAAAGCATCACCTAATTGGTAGTTTTGTCATTGACTACCATGGTCTTCAGGTAAAACTCCTTCTTGAACAGTCGTTTGACAGTTAAATGGCTGTGGCATTCCTTGCCGCCCACCTGCCGGAACCTCCTTTCCTAAGAGGAAGGGGGCGGAAGCTCTGTTCCTCTGGTCTCCTTTCACAATAACAGAGCAGCCTTATCCTGGCTGCTGTGCGGGGGCTCCAGTGACCTTCATCCTCACACAGGCTGAGAGCCGGTTTGGTCAAATTGACACCAATTCATGGGGGTATATTGCACATTCACGTATGTGCTACTGGTGACAATAAATCTTTTAAATAGTGTGTGTGTGTGTGTGTGTGTGTGTGTGTGTGTGTGTGTTAGTCTAGCCTTCAGGTAAAGACAATATACCCCCCACAATAATGGACATTATACCCCCACAATGACACCACTGAGGGATGCTCAGTGTTACATTTTCATTTATCTTGAATCTCATCTATTTCATTTCCTCGTTCTTTTCTGGCCTTCTTTCATTTACACAATCAGAATGACTTGTAATCGAGTTCCGATGAATAGGGCCGAGTCCTCTCCTGTGGAGGAGCCACCTTTGATAACAGCTCTCACCATCAGTATTGTGCTGTGAGTTCTGGTCTTTCATGTTTTGTATTTGCCTCCCGTCTGCCCTGCCGTGCGCGCGTGCACACACAGTCCCCAAGATGGTATCACCTTCATTTCCTGCATTTAGATTTTAAAGATAATACCTTACTCCCAAATGAATTCAATTTAGGCACATAGTGCTTGAACTTTTCAAGAAAAACAAAGTATTTGGGGGGGAATATTTGATCCCTTTCCCTTAGGATAAACTCCCCTCATTTCTTTCCACTTTCTTTCAATATATATTTACTCCAGAGTAACCTGTTGGTACCTGTTGGAAATCCAGAGAGGGTCATATTGTCCCAGTGCTGAATGTTTTATTGTTTTGAAGTCCTGAGTGTGTTCTACGTGTAAGATTTCAATCAGAAATGCCAAGTGTTCCTTTCTTACCATTTCTCCTATGATCTCTCTCTGTTGCATCATTAAGGAGTTCTGTGTAACATAGGGAATATTCTTAGAACAGCACCCTCATTATTTAGAGGGAGTAATACTCGGAGACAATTATAAAGGCTAATATCGCATGCTACCTCTACTTTTCTATCCAACACTCATGCTTGCTACCTACTCTTGTCATTTTTGTCATCCTTCTTCTGCATCGCTGTTGATTAGGCTGTAGCTTCTTGAGTGGGGACTGCCCATCTTTTACCCAGTAGGTTCTTGGTCCGTATATTTTTAATTAAATTTAATTACGGTAGAGGCAGCACATGCTAACCTCTCCTTTAATGATAATGTACAAGGGTTAAATATTGGCAATCCTTGATGTTCTAACCTCATTCCTTTTCTTACTCTACACAATCTCTCTTCATCTAATCTCCTATGGTTCTATCTAAAGTATTTAATCAGGTTCTTTCTCTATCTTCGTTGTGAAGCTGGCCAGGTAATACCAGTCTACACTATTGCCAGAGAAGAGTTAAAAAACCCAAATCAAATTTTGTCATTTCTCTTGTTAAAATAATTCAGTGGTTCCCCATTATGTTCAGGATAAAGTCCAAACTTCAACTAGGCCCTCTGTGGTCTGACTCCCACTTACTCTTCCAGGCTTATATAGCACCACAGTCTTCTCCTCCTTCCCTCCCACCAACACTATAGTGAAGTGTGTATAGTTAAGTGGGTTCAAATCCTGCTCCGCCATTTACTAGCTAGGTAACCTTAGAAAGTCACTATGTTCTCTCTGCCTTACTTTCTTTTCTATAAAATGAGGGACCCAGTAGTTTCTATTTCATATAGTAATTTGATAGACTCCACAATTTAATATATGTTAAATGCTTATAATGGCCTGGCTGAGAGTAAATAATTAATGTATGTCTGTGTTTTGTGTCTTGCTATTAATTGTTGTTAATCTACTCGAAGTTCATCAGAGATTGTCATCGCTCTCATTTCTTCCTTTTTGCATATGCTGTTTCCCATGCTTAGAGTCATCCACTCCACCTTTACCTGACTTACCCCTGCTGTCTCCTGAGCTTCAGCTTGGATATAAGCCTGTCAGGGCAGCTAATTCATTTAGGCGCTGAAGGCTGAAGGCTGAAGGGAAGGCACCCAGACAGCGTTGGCTGGTGACAGTGGAGCGCCTAGGTCAGGCCAGGGAAGAGTGATTGCAAATGAGAGCCTTTAGTTGCAGGAAGGGCACAAGGCTCCATAAATGAACATGCCTTCTCTATGATTAACACAAGCTCTGACAGTGCATGAGGAAAGATGAGGTCCTTTGACTAACAGCTCTTTCAAGACCCTTCTTCTTTTTAAAAATATGTTTTTATTCATTTTAGAGAGGAAAGGAGAGGGAGAGAGAGGTAGAAACATCAATAATGATGAGAGAGAATCATTGATGGGTTGCCTCCTGCACACCCCCTACTGGGATTGAGCCCACAACCTGGGCATGTGCTCTGACTGGGAATGGAACCATGATCACTTGGTTCATAGATCGACCCTCAACCACTGAGCAGCACCAGCTGGGCAAGATCCTTCTTAAATATTCTTCCTACAGAGTCACCCTTTGCAGTTCTCAGTGGTGCAGATTATACACCTGCATATGATGGAGAGATGACTGGGGTTTAAATATTCCAAAGACCAGAGAGCTTTTCAAAGCATACCCAGATCATTGATTCTTAAACAAGGGCCCAGATTGGGGTGGGATGGGGGACAGGAGGAAGGTGGGGAAAGCCACATGCACCCCACCATCCTGAGAATCACTGTACATAGTAAGAGGTGCAGCTTGTGGCAGTGAGGTGCACACACAAAGGATATGAAGTCTACAAAAATGGTTGAGCACTGTGACCACATTGAGGTCCATTTGCCTCATTCACAGATGAGGAATCTGGCCCGGGGTTTCACAGGATGGACTTTTCCTACCACACCAGGCAGCTCTTCAGACCTCATTTCGTTCCCCTAAGACCTCTGCATTGCAGAGTGCTTTTTGGCATACAAGGTCCTTTTTTAAAATTTTTTAGTAACTGAGAGCTTTCTGATGGGTTTCATGTCAGACCCACTCTGTTATGAAAAATGCAAAAAGTAAATGTGAGCAAGAAGAATAGGAGAACTTGTCAGAGTGACATGGAAGTAGCTGATCATACGAACAAATATTGAACAGTCCTGGAATGATTTAGCACAATTTAGTAAAAGTGTCTTAAATAGGTAGTACATTTAATTAAGCCACTGTATTCCAAGTTGACTCTGTGTGCTTGTAATTTTTCCGGGGACAAGATGAAACCATTCAATTTAATTTTAGGGAAAAAGTACAGTGCATTTTACAGAAAGCTTAGGAATTAATTCAGAAACTGCTCTTAGAGTTCTGGCGTATTCCACAGATCTTAATAGTTCTTTCTCATCCCGTCTTCTCTGGGTAATATCTGGATCGATCCAGAGGTCAACCTGGGCTCCACATTTTTATTATGTAAAATAACACTTACCATTTGTTTGTTTTTTCCTAATAGGGCCTGTGTCCCCTGCACAGTGGCTCATCATGTGAAGGAATCTCTACTTGATGTCACCCTAGTACTTTTCAACTTTCACACTGAGAAGGTCGTGAGCAACAACTGTCACTCTCTGAGGGTGGAAACTGCCATGATTCACAAAGACAAGAAGTAATTTTCCTGTAATCACAAGATGACTCAGGTTAGTTGCTTTCAGCTATTACTACAGTTTAAATAATCTGAGGTTTTGGGCCCTGTCCATGTGTAGTAAACCTAATCAATCCCAATTCCTATCATTTTAAGTTTATGACAATGATATAAAGTTGGAATTTATTTTTACACTAGGTAGGAAAAAGAATTTAAAATAGTTGTACAGACTAAGTTAAAATTACAAGACTCTACAGTATTTGGGGTTTTTTAGAGTGTAAAATGCTTTTCTAGAACTTAAAAAGCATTGCTAAGTGGTACTTTTTTTTATTATACAAAAGTTTGCAATATAATTTGTACTTGAAAGTAATTATGTAAATGTTAAGTTTGAAGAATCACCTGTTAAAAGCTAAAAAAAAAAAAAAAACACCCATGTATTTTATGATTAAGTATAAGTAAATTCTTTGAACTATCTTGACTAACTTGTATTTTTATTTTAGAATTATAGTTTAAATACATCTTTAAAATGTAAAACAGAGTTTTATTCCCTCATTTTAAATACTGTGTCTTCTGTGGTTTTATAGTGGGAGAGAACAATTTACAATTTTTTAGTTATATGAGTGTGGCTGTTGCATGCCTAGGGTATAGCTCAGTGATTCCCAAAGTGGGCGCTACCGCCCCCCGGTGGGCGCTGCAGCGATCCACGGGGGGCGGTGATGGCCACAGGTGCATTTGGGGGCGATGAGTAACTGCTATTAAAATTTAAAAAAAAATTAATTTCCAGGGGCTGAGTAATATTTTTTCTGGAAAGGGGGCGGTAGGCCAAATAAGTTTGGGAACCACTGGTATAGCTCTAAAACAGGCCTCTGCTAGGGCAGGAAATCTGTTGTCTTGCAGAGGATGCTTAGGAAACAGCTCATTGATCCATTGATTCTACAGTTAATTACTGAGTGACTGCCCGGGGTCCAGTTCCTTCCCTCCAGGATCTTCCAATCTAGTTGGGGGCAGATACAGAGTATAGAGTTGAAGATGGTATCAGGAGAAATGCCCTAAGAGTGACAGAGATAATAAATACGCAGGACACAAAAATGCTGGGAGAGATTGTTTTTAGCTATAGGAGGAGGAAGCTGTGCTAGACTTTGAAGGCCAGGTGAGACTTTGGAGCGGGCAGGTGATAGGAGAGCATTTCAGATGAGAGAGAACTGCCTGCTGACTTCAGCAAAGACCTCAGTGAGGAGCTATAGAGGAGTTTACTGACTGAGTCGGGAAGGGTAAGGAGTGGCTCACTTCAAGGATTAGTCTCAGGGACTGGAAACAGGACACTATGCTGCCATGTTTTGTTTTGTTTTTCTCCTCCATTTGTCTCTTATTCTGTTTGCTCCCCTGACTTCATCTTCTTCAACTTAAAGAACTCTCATCCATGTCTTTTCTTGGGGAAGAAAATGGCCAGTGGCAGCCTGACCTTGATGCCTTTCCTACTCTGTGATGCCAGAGGCAAGGCCAACATTTCTTTGGCTCTACACTGAGCTATCTCGAGGAAGGGCTCTGATTGGCTCAGCTTTTATCACCTGGCCACCCTTGAACCAATGATTGTGTCCAGGAATATAGGATACCATGATTGGCCAGGGCTAGGTCACATGCCCATCCAGGGAAGGCAAGATACAAATTATCAGAAGTAGGAAGGTGAACTTGGTTGGACAAATAAAGACAATAGATAGTCTAGCCTACTCAGAGCTAGATATACCTAAA